CTACATTACCATAACCCATCATTTTTGATAACAATTCCAATTCTACTCTTTAAAATATGTTCAATTGTTCAGTGTTATTTTTTGTAATTATATTAATGAAAAACAAAAACAAAAATCGTTGTTCAACAACGAATACATACTATTGAATAATGTATGATATTACCCATCCTGTATGGTCCGGTCTATAAGAGGGTTAAATATAATTTAACATTGTAATTATCGACTCAAATTAGTAATTTTCATTTAAAAAAAATGAGTTATGTCAATTGTCAGTAATATGGATGTTTTTTTTAACTTGTCCAATAATTACTTAATTGATTCTGCTTAAAAAAATTATAAAACATTTATGAATCAGTCGTGTGTTACATGTTTTAAAATTAAAACAAACGAATATTCTACTAAATCTAACCAACATTATTTGTATTTCATTACGTGATATAAAGTTTCTACGAAATGTATTTATTTCTCAATAAAATTGCATATAAATATAATGAACGATGTTTCTATGCTGATATAATTGGACTTCAATGAATTATTCATTTATTGCACGAAGTATATTTCTTCATAAAATATCATATGATTGCCCAAGAAAGAAAACGATACTTCTATTCACAACTTATTGAAATGTAACACCACCATACAAAATATGCTGACAGTCAGAAGTCTCTCTTTCATTCTCGGACATTCATATGTAATATGATATTATTAATATCTCAATATAATTAATAACATTTTACAACGAATATAAATGACAATTTTCAAAAAAGTGTAACTCAATATCAGACGTTTTGTGTCTTGAATTTTGGTTTCGTCACTCAATCTTTCACTTCGATATAGGTTTTTTATTCGATTACTTATAGAGCTATAGAATTTCATAAATCGAATAAATCAAAGGAATTTCAAAGGGAATGCTTTGCTTTAGTGGTTTTGAGCAGAAACTAAAACATTTCATAATAATTCGATAATTGATGAGTATGTCAGTTATTAATGTTCATTAACTTTGCCTATAAGCGCTTGATTAAGACTAATAATATGAGAAATAATGAAATTTAGATATGTTATTTCATGGCTCATCTTGGGATAAAGCAAGCATTAAATGCTTTGATTTGCCGATGGGCATGTAAAGTGATGAATTTAATTGATGTTTCCATGTTGATATATCTATTTGGAATTACAAAAACTGGAATTTCAATAAGACTAAGCTTTAAAATGTGCAGAATGTCTTTGACTATGATTGAATATCGATTACAAGGCTAAAATGAAAAATTCTTGTATCGCTAATTGAAATCGAATCGAAAATAGTAATAATACCAATGGTGGTTCAATTTACAATGATGTCAATAAACGCAAATAGCACCAATTTTGATTATTATCCATGTGTCGGTTGAAAATAAAGAGCTTTCCCTTTCATTGAAACACAATGAAAACGGATGTATTTGGATGGATTATAGTGCATATAACCTACACTTTATTTTCTGTAATCGATTACAAGTAATATGTGATAATAATTGAATGTACAAGGTAAACCCACAGATAAACAGTTTAATAAATCAACATGTAATTCACGATTTCCATCAATTCAGCTGTGTATTCTTTCCTATATAACACTTGATTAAATTTTTAATTAAAAGGCGCTCGGAAAAACTAGATCGTGTACCGGTACTTATGGCCATATTTCAGTTAAATAAAAGTGGCAAATGGTTGACTCGGATTTTCTTTGGCTTGCAAACAATGCCACGTTAATAAATTAGTCAAAATTCAGAAACCGATTCGAATTTACCTTCTCATTATATTCAAAGTGTACAATTATTAATGGAATGTTTATGTAACAAAGGCATAAAACAATGGAATTTATGATTTTGATTGTACGATGCTATGGCTTTGAATGTATATTGTCACAGTTGATTTAGCTCATTAAAATTATTGTGGCAAATCAATAAAGCTTCAATAAATTTATTGAATTGAAAATTGGATTCTGCATAAAAAATGTGTGATTTGATTTGCAAATAATCAAATAATGAAAAGGATTCTGTTATTTTCAACCGTATTTGTGGCTGGATGAATAATAATACTAAAAAACAAATTCAATGAAGTTCATAACATAAAACCAATATTCAACCGAACAAACCAAAGTCGATTTTTTTTATCTATCTTCCGTTGTGCTATTAATAAATAGAAAAAGACGGGAAAAACCTCAATGCAGATTCGTATACGATATTGATCATAAATATTTTATCGTATCTCTTTTCACCACCTCAGTATGCTATCGAAGATCTCTCATACCATACATTGTGCAAACATGTTGTACTATTTCGAATATTACATTCAATTTTCGAACGATTTCAAATGATAACAATAAATTTAATGACATCAATAATACGCAATAAAAAAATAGCGAATCGAATAAAAGAAATGGAAACGAGGTGGAGTACACATATTATTGTGTCAATGTTACAAATTTATCACACTCTGTACATAAATTGTTCGGAAGCGTGTGCGAAATTCGCACTGCGAATGAATTTGTATTTTGCTGAGACAGGAATGATATGGGTCGATGGACCCACCACCCAAAGAAATAATAATGGAAATGTCTATGGCATGCACAGTAAGAGAGAAAATTCATAAATAGACAAAAATGATAAAAAAATAGTACGTTTTTAGAGGGAGTGCATACAGTTGCATGGAATGTTTTATAGACCGCATGAAAAGAAATTATGATCGTGATGATCTCATACATAGACAGAGAAGAATACAGACCCTTTGCGAATATTTCACGATAGAATGAACAAAAAAAGAACAACAATGAAAGCGACAAGTTGAAGTATAAAAGATAAACAAAAATACATACATGAATCAAGTACAAAAAATGGCGGAAAAACCATGAATTTATTTCAATTTGCAGCGAGTGTTTTGTTTATCTCTTATTGTGTACGAAATTAAATTTTCTACACGACAAATGAAACGAATAGTTCAACTACCACAACTAGTTCTTCCACGTCAAAATTTTCCTGGCATTATTTTGCAGCCGAACAAATGAATGATTAAAAAAAACGTTGTTGTCCTAGAGACGGAGCAATTTCTTTTGTATGAGCTTGTGTGTGTGTGTGTCATGGGGCGAATCACGCTAGTGAAAACTAGAAAAACTAGTAAATCTAGTGCGAAGAATGACGTCACAAACGAAGCCAACTTCACAACAACGGCCATATAATTTATATGAAAATCTACTGAGAGCCAACTTCACGCACTAGAATTTTCTAGTTTTATAGTGAAATCTTATCAAAAACTAGATGCACTAGAATTTCGTGATTGACCCCATGGTGTGTGTGCTTCGTTTGTTCTATTTCAGTTCAATCATAGAACCAACAAAAAATACAGCAACACAAGAAAGAAAATGAGTATGCACATGGAGTCACACAGTGACCATGATTGTTTGTGGTATCGAATGTTGACAAAAAGTGTCAAATGAAACAAATTCTTTTGGACATTGAATGTTTGATAGCAATAGTATCAGCAACAAAATAAATGGAAATACTGTAAACACGGCCACAGTTTTGTATGGACGTAAGTCAATTCAAAATGATGGAAAAACGACATAAAAAAAGTTGACACACAAACGAAAGAAAAAAAAAACACCAGCACAAAACACACAACCGACAATCCACAATTCAATCGGGGAATAGAAAGAGCGATGAACGACAGTCCACACAGGAAAGGAAGGAAAGAAAATGCAAAAAAGACAAAACTGACAAAACCACATGCCAGCAGAAGAAACGTTGGCAAATTAAAGCAAAAACACACATGATAAAGACCCAACGCAGTGTGTGTGTGAGAGAGAGAAATAACAAAAAAATTTAGATGTCTCTCAATATGCGACCGATGGCATACTTCAATGTGGCCAAACAAAATTCACATCGATGCAGTTAGTTCGGGAGTCGTTTGCATACCAATAAAAATGACGTTTTTTTGTGTGTGTGTCGACTTCGACTTCGGTTCAAACAGCCACCACCAAATGTTGAATCCATTCGTTGCGATTCCGAGACAAATTTTAAAGCATGTTACCATGTTTGCTCTTTCGATATTTCAAAATGCATTTATGGATAAATACATACAATGTAAATAAATGAAAATGTGTGTGTGTGTACGACTGTACGTGGATAACTTTGTTGTCTGTTTGCATTGCATTGCACCCAAGCGTCAACAGCGTACAACATAAAAACAGTGCTCGTCGTTCAGTTCGCGTGCACACCGCGAATTTAATGGTAATTTTATTGTAGCTGCAACTCAAAAGGACAATTCAGATAAAACGGAGATAGAACGTGAAAAAAAAATTCAAAAAATGTGAACAATAACAATGTATCGTACCATAATAATCATTGGGGTTTTTCGTCAGTGTTCGTGCTCTCACGCCAATTAATTCATTTTACGTTCGGCAGAAATTGAGAGAACGGCGAACAGATGAACGCGGTGGATTTGTTGTTGGGGCTCCACACGAAAATTGCATTTCAATTCAATACATAATACCAGAAAATAATCCAGTCGACATTGTATTTGCACTTTGGCCATGATTGTGGAACATTCATTTTTCGATTCCATGAATCGCATGCAACACACATTGCACCGCATGCATTTGTGTGTCTTTTTCTCTGTATATTGCACCGATTCTACGCTCATGTTTTCATTTGTGCCAATTCCCAAACGGAATCGAGCGAATTCAGATTGTCATAAAGTATAACACACATTCGCATATCATTGTTGTGTATAAATTATGAAGCGACGACGAATGGGGTTGTTGTTGTTGTTTTGTCATAGTTTTCGGTCAACATTGTTTTGTGTGTACTTGGTTTAATATTTTGTGAAAAATTAATTAGCTAGGGGACTTTGGCCAGCAGAAATGATGAGAGAATTTGTAATGTATACATTCCATTTCATACGTTTGGTAATCATCATACAAGCTAATCACATTTTACGTTTGACATTTTGAGGAAAAAAGAGAGACTTACTTTGTTATTTGTAGACAGATATCGATGATCAACAATTTTTCACGCTCGATGTCAATTCATTTGATTGAATTTATGATTAAGTTTCGCTTACAATTGAACCACAAAAATTAAATTATTTCAACAGCATTAGAACATTCAATGCGTCCTCAAATGTCTCGTTTTCTGATTGTTTGCACGTAATTCACATCAAATCTGATTTAATTTTATTTTCTTCAAATAAAACACTCACAGAAACATTCACGCTCACACATGAGGAGAACTTTGACAATCTATGCGACCAAGCAAGAAAAAAATTGTCTTATACATTTGTCGTCTTTGGAGTTTTGTTTTTTTTTTCACACAATTTTACGCACATGGGACTATTTCGTTATTATCAAAGGACTGAAAAGTTTTACACTAAGAATTTTATTGGCTTGATTGTATGGGAAAATATTATTTCAACACTGTTTGAAACAAAAGTGTGTGTTGGTGGCTCATCATTACTCATATATCTTTTTTTTTTCTTTGGTTCTCTTCGCATAAACTGTGTTTCACAAACTTACAACTTTTTCTAGTTGTTTTTTCTGTTTGCAGCAATCGTGTCTTTGTTTTTTGTTTTTCTTGACAACATCCAATAACGAATGGTTTTTATTTTTGGTGCATCTGCGTTTGCAATCTTTTTATTTGTGCCGTTGTAATATTCGGTAATATTAATAATATGTTTTCAAAGGTGATCCAATAAAATCCAAACGGAATAAGCCAAGATGAGACGCACTACGTTTGTCAATCGTATAAATGCAATCAAATTCGGAGGGTGATTGCGACGGCTGCGATGAAGGGAAGAATGTGTGTCTTTTTTCCGTCAATAAATAAAATACTAGTTGTGCACAGAAAAAATGAGAGCTCATATATTGCTAAGCAATTCTAGCAGTTCACGTCATGTGTATTTTTGCCAAACAATTTTTTTTTCTCTAATAATATCACGTAAGACCGTTATTTGTTATTATTCATTTTTGTTGTTTCTTTTTCTTGGTTATCCCATGTCCTTACGATGCCTTGATCTCACCGGCAAAAAATACTCATATTTCGATACACATAAATTTGATGCTGTAAAGTCTTATACTTTTATGGGGATTTGTACACACAAAAAAATAGACTTGATAGTAAGCGGTTTTTATCGGTGATACACTGTTGTTTGGCTTAAGATGTGAAATTGAAAGCTTGCCATTTTTTTTTGTTTATTTCATTTCGCCCATAAATTTGGCGTGTATTTGTCTATGTATTTTCGTGTCCTTGCTATCTAAATTCAATAATCGTCAGTCAGTTGGATTAAGTACGGGTGCTGTAAAACTATACCAATCGTATTGCATTTATTCACTATATAGTTGATCCAATTGAAATCGTATACGAAAAATCTCGGTCATCGTACGGCAAATTATAATAAAGCCGTGTGTATTGGCCGAGCGTCGCGATAAAACTGAATGTGATGTGTAACATTTTACAAATAAGAGAGACAAAACGAAACACAAATTCGAAGGGGAATACGAGAAATCACGCAACATTCGTGCACGAACATTCCAACCGAAGGAGAATAGCGGTTTGGAAATAATTTGTACTGTATGACGAAAAGAATTCCACTCTAAACGAAAAGTAGGAGTATTTTTTGGCCGAAATGACAGCATATTGAGCATGCGCGCGACGGTGCAACAGAAAAACTGTTTCGCATTGAAAATTTTACATGAAAAACTCCTTGAAATGGAACAAGAACATAAAGTAGAACGAGAGAAAGTAGCATGCGAAATCTGTCTCGAGATAAATGGTTTTAGCGCGAGTGAAAAACAGAATGATGTTTGCATGTATTTGACTGATGGTGTTTTTGTTGTTGATCGGTGTTGTTGCCGCTATTGTTGTTGTTGTTTTTTTGCACTCGGACTCCTTTCGATGAAAAAGATTTTCCATCAAACAATGGTGTTAAGATATTGCACACAGCTTGGTCATTTGCAACGTTGATTTGAAATGCATGGGGTTTTCAATCCGGATCTGGGTGTGTTATGATGATAGGTCAGTTTTGTCTTATGGCTGAATGTAACATGCAAACATATCTTTATTAACATTATATGAAATGTTACCGAGTATTAACACGGTGAAGTGGGCGCGCAGCAACTAACTAAGCGAGCATTTGACTCTTGCTGTTCCGACAGCCACACAACCACACATATGAACCAAAAGAAAATTGTTGGAAAAGTGGAAAAACGGTTTGTTATGCTTTCAAAGTTTGTTAGCGTACATATATAAACGGTAACGATTATTGGTCGCTTTGCATGGATGTAATCGACTCATTTATATGCATGACTAACGGAAGAGGATGATAAAAGAAAGACGGACAAAATAATATGAAACATTGTATAAACAGTTGTGTGTAAATGATTGGTGAGCGTGTGGAATAAAAGATTATTAAAAACCTTTGAAAAAACCTCCATAATTTGATGGTCATTAATATCACTTCCACATTTGATTTCTTTCATTCGGCTGTTTATTTTGATGTTTTCAATTGTGCCAGCCATGCTTTTCGTACAGAATCCGTATTTAGTTCGATTATCTGATTAATGCATGCTGATTTTGGTGCTCATTCGGTCAGATCGTCCATTTTTTGCGTGTTTATTTGCCAATTAATTCCAATTCAACAGCTAGATGAGTAGTAAGCGGCGTACGCAATATTCAAGCATCTATGCTTCAAAATGAATACTAAAATAATTAATGAAATTAGCTTAATCGATAATGAAAGCAGACGTTTCGCACAATAATCATTAACACAGAATAGTAATTAATCGAATTACTTCCATCGAAGTTCTTCATTTTATACACACAGTGATACGATTTTATGTGCGCACATTTCTATATTTCAAAAGTAAAAAAACATTCATTTTAGTAATATTGCGTTGTGTTTTGCCGTAAACGACCGTGTGTCTCGTTTCCACGATGAATGCATGCCAATTGAAATTGTGAAGTCTCTTACTCAAATGTTGTTATAAAACTTTTACTCATTCGCAAAAAAAAATATGCGCTCGCTGGCAAACTTAGAAACACAGACACGGCGAGAGAGAGAGAGAGAGAGAGAGAGAGAGAGTAAAGGAACTCGGATGAGTGACGACAGTCGGGCACTATAGAAAAAAACTTCAATTAAGAAAATGAAGGAAATTGAATCAGTTGGAGCAAAAGACTGGCAGATGTTCCCCCTCGCTCAACAAATAATAATAAGAAATTTCACTGCAAAACAAAACCGTCACATATGAGATTTCGCTGAGTAAGACAGAAGAACGAGTGAACGATGCACGGCATTTCGATCGAAACCGAGTCCTTCGCTGCTCAAATGAGATCAAACACAAGCCAACTGCAACGACATAATTATTTGTGAACTAGTTGAAAATGACAGAAAATGTTCATTTCACATTATTTTTCTCCTTCTTCTCATTTCGCTACTGTAACACAATGTGCAATTAATTAAAATTGGCAATTCTTCTTTTCTCCACTTCTTTCATTAGATTGTTTTAAAGTAAATGCAACGAAACACTTAGAAGATCAACCGAGTAAGAAAGAGAAATGTGGAAAGAACAACTTAACTGAATTTACAGAATTGGTAAATTTCATTGAATAAACAAATGGAATAGAGAGCGCACGAAATTCGAGTGGAAAAAGTTTTGAAATTTTTTAACATTTAAGTTAATTGCATTTTTTTTGCTGTCAATTGCAAAGGCAAACGAACGAGCGTCCACGATGTCCAATGGAAATGCACATACTGCTCACATTTCATGCAAATCAGTTTACTAAAATTAAACATTTTTTTTAAATGTGAATTTCATGGAATTGACTGCGCGATGATGACAATCAAGAAAAAAACATCAACGAAAACTGTGTACATTGCAAACTAATATTCTACAGCAAACTATGCTACACACTGTGTAGTACACAGTGTAAACTGAACTTGAAACACGCTCAAGTGCTCAGTTTCATGATGTTTTAATTTAGAGTGAATAAAAAAATCGAATCAGAAACCAGTGGCAACAATACGCGCGAACAGTGAACGATGACGAAAACAACGACACCGTACAACGTCATTGATGATTTAATCTTTTGACGGCATGGTGTATATAAATGCAACGAAAAATGTAATAAATAAACGCGTGTCTGAACTGCTTCCGACTCGGAAGTTTTGTGACCGTTGTACCATTTCTGTCCCAGGGATTTTCTTTTTATTTTTATAATGTATAAAAAATGCAACGCTATTAAGCATCGCACAATATGAACAGAGCGAAAAAGGCGTTCGCTCTATTTAAAGAGTTTTCATAAATATTTTAATAGCGCGGATATCTCATATTGAAAAGTTTAAGTGCAAATATTTATATATGTACTTTGCCTTGTTATTTGAAATGAAACTTTTTAGCAGTACACATCTCTGTCTGTCTCTTTTTCCAGAGTATCCTCGATCCAATTTTAAAATGTTTGTTTATACTCGAAATTAATGAGCGTTATGCTGTCTGAAAATATAAAACTTTGGCAGCTGTATAATTTTATAACGAACACATACGAAAATACGATTGATGATTTTATTGAACATATTTAAGCACTTGATTTCAATCCACAGGATATTCCATATTTCATAAGTATTCAATATTTTGGACTATATCTATTGAAGAGAGTATGTTATTCAGCGCTTATGGCTGAGTAATGTCTGAATAAAAACATACTCTCCTCTCGATATTTTCAATAGATATATCGAACTAATTTAAGCATATAGTTGGACTAAATACAATAGTTATGCATGGAACATAATTTTTTGTATACACACATCAATGCAGAGCTTATATTAAATTTGGTGTTGCATTATTTGTTGCCATTCTTGGACACCACAAGTTCAATTGTACTCAATCATGTTCAATGTTCCTTTGATTTTTCCAGCCATTTCCAATCCCTCTTAATCTTAATTGCATACGATGGAACTATTTTATATTGGGTTATAATATATCTATGTCTTGTAAAAGATTTTTGTTATTTGAATACGCTGTAATATTCCAACAAATTTGATTTCGATCAGAAATATATAGGGGAGAGGTCCGTAGGTTGAAACGGGTTTTGATTTTTAGCCAAAAAAAATTACTTAAAGAAAATATTACGGAGAGTCATATATCGTTGAAAAGGTAATGTTCGTGGCTACATTTTTGCCGAAGAAATTAGTTGAATTACTTCAAGAACAAAAAAGTTATGACCAATTTTCCGACCACATGATTTTTTTCCAAAAAAAAATTTGGTCCGTAGGTTGAAACACTCATTGCAATTGAGAAAAAGGTCTAATTAATGGAATAAAAACACTAGCTATCAAGTGTTTATTGTTCATTTATTTATCAGAAAGGCCTCAAACATGAAAAAGAGAAGAAAAAAAACGAAATTACATTAATTTTCGTCAGACAGATTGGCATCCGAGTCGCAATTTTGGTACGTGAAATTAGCTTCGGCTCATGTTAACGCACTTTAAATGAAATGGCCGCTGGCACTTGTTGCATTCGATTGAGTTGTTTTTGGTTAATTTGGCTGGCAGGTTTTCCATGCAGATCATACAGAAATCCACATCTTCATCCGACGACGATGACGATTCCTTCTTTGAGGCGGCTGCTCGTGTGGGCTGTGTTCGCTTTTTGGCTGGCTCTTTTTGAGATGAAAGTTTTCGCTTCTGTGTGCTTTTTTTCTTTTTCGCATCTTCACGCTTTTACCGATTTTTCTTGAGTTTTGCGATATTTTCTATTGATGTGAGAACTGTGCTCTTCATACGCTTACGACCGCGATTGGATTTTTTCTGTGGCATAGCTGGCTGCACGGCTCCAATTTCGGACAAAAATTCCATGGACTTCTGTGTGTTGAACATAGTAGTATGAGCTTCTAGAATGTTCCATTTGATTTATTTAAATTAAGTATGCACTTTCCTCTAAAACACGTAGCGTTATATAGTGTTTCAGCCTACGGACCTTCGAGTGTTTCAACCTACGTACATTGTCACCATTTTTACCTGACATGAAAATTCTTGTGGATGCAAAGATATGTTCAAAATTCCTTCGGCATATTAAAATGGACCAAAAACTGTGGTGCAAATGTCAAAATAAGTTTGCTCAACAAATTTTTTGGTATGATCTAACTTAAACATAGGGAATGGGAGTTAGTAAGACAGTCTACCATGAAAAGTTAGCTGCTAAAAATACAGCGACTTGAAAGTATAAACCACAGTGCTACCAGTTGCCATATTTTAAAATATGTGACTGTTTCAACCTACGGACCGTTTCAACCTACGGACCTCTCCCCTACTGTATTCATATATAATAATGTGCGTATGTTGTGTATTTGCTGGCGGGAATGGTATATAGCACAGAATTTTAAAGCAAAAAATTTCCATCGAAATTGAAAACTTAGCCGA